TCAGTGAATTTCATGGTAATTAATAAAATGGAGAGGCTGTTTTGAATTAAATAGTTTTGACTCAATATCGTGATATCGTGATACGTATCGTATCGTTAGGTGCCAATACTCACCCCTACACTGTAGTTTCTCTTACACACTTTACAGCCCATTAGCTGAATCTAAAACTTCACCCCAAAATGCCACTGAATGCTACACACTGGTCCTTTAAGTAAAGGCTTTGAATACCTCCTCCACCGCTGCCCGTTGGTGTGAAAGTAGTTAGTTAGTTAGTTAGTTAGTGGCTAGTAGGAAACTGGGACACAGAGCAAGGTGAACACAGCTGCTGCTGATAACAGTAATTACTTGACCTTTACACTCTGTAAAGGTGTGTGCTGGAAGTGACATCATTACATGCTGGTGATGCTGATGTGTCATGTCATTATGAAAACCAGTGGCTGAAATCCACCTAACTGCATTGTAATTCGCTACTGATCAAGGGACCAATTGGAGACACACAACTGAAGCCAATTCTTGCAGGACTTGCTGTTCTAAACACCCTGGGTCAGGCCCAAGCCACATCATAATTGCTTCAGATGCATTCAGTTCCCAGAGACATGACGCATCCAATACATTCTTAGTAAAGTAACCTTCTTTCCATTCCTATGCATTACACATAAAAGACAGATACTGTAAATGTGAGGCCGATCACATACAGGTATGTTGCTGCAATTGGATCACATCAATGGAACTAGTGCGGGTAGGGGTGGATTTAACATTTTCATGTGATTATGAATAAATGGGGAAAGAAAAACAACACAGTAAAGTTTCGAGTATAGACAAATATGAAGAGAGAAAAAGAAAAACCCGCCCGTATATTTTTTCATCTTCTGGACTTGGCCGTAGAAGAATCTTGGGTGTAGCTGTTGCAGCAACTGTAGATAAGAAAATCAGAATGAGTGTTGTTAACATCGTAAATGTTTATAACTGCCAACAACATGTCAGGTCAGTAAAAGTAAATGCATAATGAATATTCAGAGATTACACTTGTTTACAGCTTGTTTCCGATGCCACAGAGTCTGTCATTATTCAGTCTAGCAAGCTATATGTACGTTATGGTTATGTGGTATTTGTTAATATTAGGACTGTGGCCCTGCCATGGTAGACTGAGGTGGTAGTGTCGTGAAATAACCTGGAGGCTCCTCAATGTGCGGTGTGCCTTTGTCCAGCCCAGCTGAGGCCTGGGGGTCTTCAGGTATTCTGAAGGGGGAGGCCATTGCTGACATCTTGGGGGTCCTCATGGATTCTTCCCTGTTACACACACAAACACACAGGATGAGAGGCTCTAAAGGAACTACAAGGTGCCAGAGCAACTGTTTAAAGCTTGAGTATGCTAAATTAACTCATGTAGGAGATGCATACATTTTACGAAAGCAATAGGGACTAACAGGACACCTAATAACGTCAACTGACCCGCCCCTTTTTGTTCTGTGCACCAATAACAATTGAGCAAGGCTCGGTCAGAACCTCAGTTAACTTTCTTATTTCCTGTACGTAACATTTTTTTACCCTACCCTAACCAATCTCACTCCTCATGCCTAAACCTAACCAACCCCACCAACCCAACTAGTACTAGCGAGTTGAGTTGAGTCACAAGTCTACATGACCTAACTGGAATCCAAGCTTCAGTCCATCCTACCTGGGGTTGTCTCTTTCATTAGAAGAGTGGGAGGACAGGTCAGACTGGCGGGACCTCCTCTCCTCTGGGGGAGAATAGGAATGGTATGACTCCATCTCTGATATGTCTGACAGACAGACAAACAGACAGACATTGCAGTTAGACACACAGGCCTCTTTCAAGCAAAATCCCCCTGTGCAGGCCGCGTGCCACCACCACCACCACCGCCACCAGTACAAAATGGTTGCCTGAGGAAGCCCCGACACCAGCTAATTACAGCCCGGAACAGACTGAGGACGTTATTAGAGATTATGAAGTTGAACTGCCACAGCTCAAGACTCAAGATAAAAGCAGCTATTACTCAAACACACTGAATTGGGGACGCCTGTGTTACCAGTGGTAAAAGCATGTATTTCAATAATACAGGCCCCCACAGTTCTGTTCTGAAATAAAGCCCACAATGAAAAACAAGTTCTTTAGAACAGGAAAGGTTTTTTTTGTGTTATCCTCGACATACATGTCTGTATTTGTTGCAGTGTTTCACAGGATATAAATGTATATGTTTGAGATGTCAAATAAATCCAAATTCAAATCAAAGTAAGGCGATTTTGTCAAAGTGGCCATAGTCAGTACTGCAGGTCACATGATGCCACTGCCACAATTATTATAAATAAACACAAAGAACATCTGAACTGGCTTGCTTGGCCTGTAGTCATTGCAACCCCAGATCCAGATAAGTAATGGAAGCATACATTTACAGTTATTGCTGAAACGGTTGGCCATATGTACAAAATCAAAAATATAATAGGTATAATAAAGATTGTAACTTTTAAGAGATACAGACTAAAACTAGGGAATTTAGAAACTTTGAAGAAATGCTTTCTAAGGATTCAGGCTTCTTCAACTTCTGGAATGCCAGTATGAGGGCAGCTCTGGCCTCATGGGAGTATCCGTACTGCTTTATAACCCAGAAACGAGCTGGTCAAAAGTGCTTACACAAGGCCCAGCTCTCCACAGAGACCGCCTGGCCTTCACTCACTCCCACTGATTTTTTTTTTTAAGTAAAGAATGGGTGGCAGAGTCTTTGATTTGGCTGCTTTTATCTGTCAGAGTGTGGCACTGCTCAGAAAAGAGGGAGGGAGGCTTAAGATGGAAGCTTTTAACAGAGGCCTATACACCAAGAAACCAGAGACAAAAGAAACATTTGAAGACACAGGTGTGAGATGACAAGCGAGACCACATAAAAGACAGCGAATAAAAAAAGAGGCGATAAATCCGTCCCCCTGAAAACAACACACCATGACAAACCTCTAACAGCCAACAACTCTGTCACTTTTAATAACATTGCTGCATTCCTTCATGGCTTCAAGCAGATCAGTTTTGCCTTTCATTTAGTAGCAGTTAGAGGTCAGAGAGGCACGGTCGACTTTCACCAGGTACAATTTGGTACGTGTTAATTAATGTGATTAGGGTTAGAGAGACATTCTACATGCAGGGACGTACAGAGGCGATGGAGTTTGACAAGCAAGAATGAGACACTGAAATGGAAGAGCGAGGATGAGAGAGACAGACTGAAAGAAAAAGAGAAATGTGAGGATATTGTGTCAAACCTGATATCGGCAAGTGTCGGCCAAATATGTCAGAAACAACATCCAGCATTCAGATTTATGTCACAGAACCAAATTTGGATTGTGTGTTGACGTGAAGGACTCAGAAATAGAGCCATCATAAAGAACCAATCAATACTGAGTTTTTTCTGTTTGCCCTATGGAGGCGGGGCCAAACCCTGGATATATATTTGCTTTTTAACCAAGAGTTTGCTTCGCGGCTGTGTTGCGTTAATTTCCGAGAACGTGCACAACCAACGATGCAAACAGACTTCTTCCTGGTGTCCACAGAATCAATCATTATGTTTTTGGTGACCCCCTAACCTTTGCCCTAGCGCCACCATCAGGACACATTTTAGTTTTCTTTCAGCCCATACTAAAAAAATTCCAGTTTATATTATGAAAACATTTTAAATTTAACAAGCAGTTGAACAAGCTGTACAGCACTGTCTTTCAACTGGGGAGGTCAGCTGACCCCTAGTGGTTTGTGGTGGTACTGTAATTAGTTTGCGCAAATAAGTATATTTTGTTTTTCTCATTAAAATCAAATAAATACAAATGCATTGTTCCGCATTTTAAAATGATCTTTACTAGATTAAAAAAAGGAACTTTATGCCACAGTTCCCATGCGTACTGGAGGCATTCTGTGCCTCAGCAGCCAGATTTACCAGATGGCATTTTGTTCATTTCTGATTAGTGTAATTAAGAATAGAATCTTACTTGAGTAATACACTGTCATAAAGGTTAAAAGACAAAAAGATATTCTTGTTAACAAGAAATACCACAATCTAACTGTCAGTTTGTTGTGCAATGTGCTGAGTACATTCATGCTATTCGGGGAATGAGCCCTTTCAATTTTAAACTCCATGACTTTTCCTCTACCACCACCTACAGGAACATTTTCTTAATAAAGCCCCCACAGCTTCAGAATGGCTACATCACACTACCTCAGTGTTTGGTTGTTCCATTAAATAGTTCCACATTGTGGGGTGTAATGTTTGCAGCTGCCAGTCGAGTTTTACACTTCTTCAATCTTCTTTTATGTATTCATCCATGGTGAGAGAAACAGCTAACCTGTGTGGATATTAGTGTTTTCTTTAGTCTAAACTATTCCTGTCCTCTTTACGTGGATTCACTACTGAGTGACTGCTCAGAACAAAGCTTTAGTTGTTAGTCAGTGCTGTAGCGAGTGGAAGAGGTGCATCTGTGTACTTCCAGGTGAACAACCACCAGGGCCTGCAGACAAACTAAAATTGAATTGAATTAACTCTAATTACAAACCCAACACACACACACACACACACACACACACACACAGAGTCAGAGTCAGAGTCAGCTGCTGCACCACTTCAGCGTTCTCAACAGCACGTGCCTGAAAAGTGACAGCTACACTATTTTAGTTCACAACACAGTTACTTAACCCCCTAGAAGAAACTTTCATTTGATCTTGATTTTGGCGGCCCCTGTGGACAAAGGTGGTAGTGTTTCCACCGCCATGTTTAACTGATTTCAAGGGGAATCCGACCCTGGGGTAGGCATTAAGAATAACTTTAGAAATAGCCAATGTTCTCCCTGGTGATCTTGTTCGTTTATGTGGGTTATATAAAAGCATCACTGTTAAATTGAGCCCTTTCCATAAGAGTTACAAACTCCTTGTAGTACGTTTAACTAACCTGGTCTTGGATTGTGTATTTTTGATGTTGCTGTATTGCACTGTATTGGATACTGTGCCCACACTATTAGGAAAACATCAATGTAAAGCAGTCCAATACCAAGTACCAACAAAAACTGATCCACACCACCACCACCAAACATCATTCTATCCTCGTAAAGATCCTCCTGAATATTAATAAATACAAAACACACACACACACAGGTTTACACACAGCTAGTGTAAGGTGTAGTGGTGATGCAGCAGCATTAGGAGCAAAGAGACAGATAGGTGTGAATACTGCTGAGTCAACTCTGGGGATTAATCCCTGACAATCTAATCTAGAACACTGTGGGAATACTGCGGGGGTTTGGGTGGAGGTGATGAATTGACAGTGGAGATTTACTTTGAGAGTAATATATTAATGCGCAGGTCGAGATTTTGGCATGGAAAGAGAATCCCATCTCATGTAGGCATGAGAGGTTTCATTCAGCAGACTCGGGGTTTTGCTGCTACTGGGTTTGGTATGACCAGCAGCATAGTGGCTAATGCTAGCTACTGTTAGCAAACAACTACTGAGTCAGTTTATGACTTCTTTACGTTTGGGCTAATGGTAATGAATCTGTCTTTCCGTAGAGTTGTTGATTACAGGCAAGTATGCAATTCAATAAATATGGAGGAGTAAAAGGAATATTTCCTAAAATAAAAGGAATATTTACTTGGGCTTAAATTGGTCAGTTTTTACAGTCACTGAGATTTGAACAGTTCTCTGAAAAATACTACTGGAAACAGCTTATAAAAGAGGCACAACTACAAAACTTTTACACAGACTCCTGGGGCCGTAGTACAGAAACTGATCCTATCCTAACTACTGATAACCATGGTAATTATAGTTAGGTCCTAATTCAGAGGAACTGTCATTTCAGATTAACAGTTCCTATGTCAATGTTCCTACTCTAATTTAAAGGACCAGTGTGTAGGATTTATTGGCAACTAACTGAGTAGTAGGTAGGAGTAGTAGTGGTGTAGGAGAAACTACAGTTGCCACAAAACTTGTTAAAAATGCTAACGGCTTGGTTTGTCCCTTCTGGGCTGACAAAAACACAGAGATTCCTATATTCAGCTGATAAAGATAAAACATACCTCTGAATGTTATATTTTTTGGCTTTCTTAAGCCTTTATTTTGATAGGACAGATGAAGATAGACAGGAAAAGGAGGGGAGAAATGTTACACACTGGACCTCCAAGTGCTGTGTGGTTTTTGTTCAATTTTTATGTCGGTGTCTTAATGTTTCAGTATCAGTGAGGAAACACTAAGAGTTACAACGTTTTTTAGCTTCAACAAGATGAGAAAAGTAACACTGGGTGCTGGGTAACACTCATAAAAGTTGATAAGCAATATTGGATTAAGTATTTAGGATTTCCTAACCTGAGAAAAGATAGGAATACTATCCTTAAGATTTAAGATAGGAAGCTTCTGTAATATGACGCCTGGTCTTTAGAAATTTGTGGTTACTTAATGTTTGTTGTATCTCAGAACATTATTCCTATTTCCCTCATACTGTAGCTAGATCCAAAACTTCTTACTTGTAAACCTCCGAGGTAAGTGTTATATAAAATATTGAAACCTTAAAATCTAAAAATATTACAGTGACCCTGTCAGTGAAATGAGAGGTGTGAGCATGAAAAGAGAATGTTTGTGTGTAATGGAAATGCAGCAAGAGACAGCAGGGAGGTGATGATAGTTCAGATATACCACCTGGACAGACAACGGCGAGTTGCTACACTGTTAGGACAAATCATTAATATGTTATTACAATGAAAATTCAACAAACATCTTACCCACTTTATGAGCCACGCTTTCTCATGCAACATTCTGTATTCACAAAAATAAATCATCACCCTTTGCAACATCATGGTTCAATATTCAGACAATATTATAAAATCATCTGAAGACTTCCTTCACTGCCATTATTCAACTTCTATACTTAATGAATCACACAATTCAAAGTACATAGTGATTTAAATGTGTTTATTTATTCAGAAAAATGAATCATGTATTAAAAAGTTAAAGGATTTAGAGCAGTATAAAGAGAAGTGCAAAAGGTGTGAAAGCTTTACAACTTAGTCAGGTTGTGTCACAGCCGTTTTACAGCTTAGAGAAAGGCAACATTGTTACACATGCTGTGTCTTGGGTGGTCCTTCATCTAAAAGTATGACATATTATCTGGAAGAGAAAACACAGACAAAGATGGCACTTTTGAGCGATTATAGGGATCGCTTCTGCTTGTCAAGATGAGCACTTTCAAATAATTAGTTCACTTTTTAGGCAGATTTCAGCACCAGGGGCTGGAGGTTTTTCGAAAAACAACATTTCAGCCCACAGTAGGGTCTTGAGTAAATCCTGACCTGCTGGTGCCCTCTCTCTTTTTGGGGGATACACAGTAGCTGAGCAGCTGCAAGCAGAAACTCAAGACTGCTTAGTTTCAGATGGTATTTTTAGCCGCTTGAATGCCAGATATTTTTATCTTTTGTGTATTTAAACATGATTGTAACTGTACGTGTCAGGGAACAGTTGAAGTAATGCCAATGGATACTTTGCTTTATTCATTATAAATCTTTCCATATATTATTATGTGTTTTGTATGGAGGCTCAAGTGTGTCACAAGAAATAATTATTAACTTTTTCTTTGGTTAATTAAAATTAATTAAGTATGTCATTAAAACATTTCTACAGTGATTAGATTTGTATTTCCAATAATACATAATAAAGCAAAAATAATCATGATATTACTTAATAAATTACTTTTTTTTTCTTTACCTTTAATAGTTATTTATATTTTTATATGGTCAAATACTGTACAGAGTAAAGTTTGCAGAGTTAAAAGCATTTCTCCAGCTGCTCCCAGGTCTTTGAACAGCTTGCTCCTTTGAAGTGAGTAATTGTAACATAATGTATATGTTAAAATGAATTCTATAAAATTGGTATCGGAAAAGCATTGTTCAGGAACTGGTATTGAAGTCAAGCTATTGGCACCGATATCAAAACCTTTTCAACGATACCCAGCCCTATTATGGGTTCTTGACCTTTAGCAGTTGTACCACTTTTGATGACTCAGTCCAATTTAACCAATCATTATATAAATCATTACATAAATTGTTTCTATAGAAACTTAATGAATACATTCTATTTACCTATTGACCTTAAAAAATCTGTAATTATTCCAGTGGCACACTTTAACCTCCACATCTTTGTGCAGATCTGATGATCTCTATTTTCTATTCTTCTCTATTTTTTAGTCATCTATCACTTTTATGGACCAAAAACAGTGCATATGTTATATATTTGTACCATATTAGTATCTGAATTACCTCACTTGACAATTTAACAAAGCATGTCAACTCTTAAAACTGAATGACCTATCCTAACTAATCTCAGCCTTAAATCAACTTCCCTCTGATCTGGACACCAAAGTTTGGTGGAGTTACAAAAACTGCTACAAATCTGTAAAAAAAAAAAAAACAGTGTTTCCCACAGACACTCAGTCACGATGTCTGGTTAGATAAACATGCAGCAGTCTATGTATATTGTAAGCTAAGTAATATGAGGTTACATATTAGTTAATATATTGATTTGATTAAATTTAAAAGAAACATTTTGACATCCGAGGTCTCTGTAGATCTCTGATTATGTGAATAGTACAAATATAAAAATTCAGAATATATATTTTGAAATGAAATCCAAATATAAAGTATAGTATATTTCAGACCTTTGGGAGACACTGTACACAGCGGCCCTGCCTCTACCACATAATAACTACTACGAACCTCCCTGTGGTTTAACACTAACGCTGTCGGTCAGGCCATGCGTTCAGTGACTCACCATCATTATCAGAGTCAGAGTCTGCGAGGGGGGGGATGCGGACGAGGATCTGGCGACGGTCTCTCTGGACCACCAGCTGGAGCTTCCCTCTCGACTTTTCTATCAGCTTCCCAGCATCATGCAGAGAGAGGTTCTCTGTCACTGTCCCATTGATCTGCACACACACACACAGTCAGAGGCTGTGGGAACTCTCACTAAGGAAGCTTGCTCTGTAAACCTGGTGTTTCTTTCAACTTCAAATTAGAGGCTGGGGATTTGTACTATATACAGTATTGTGTTATCTGTTTATGTAACTCAGCTGTTGCCACCTGTCTTGTCCAAGAAAAACTTGATCTCAAGGAGGTTTTGTTGTAAATGAAAATAAATAAATAATAATCAAACAAACTGGATAATGGCCAGTGGCAGTAAACAAAGTGGATATATCTCCATGGTAGCCTACATCCGATCTCTCAGAATCCTCTTGCCCTAATAGGTTCCGAGTAACCGGCATGACTGGCAGTCATCCAGGAATTACAGAACCATATTTACCTCTGTAACGTCTGTTCCGACTCAGTCCTTCCTGACTGCCAGTGGCAGTAAAAGTGGATGATTCAGAGCAGTAGTGTCACAAGCAAAAGCTGATGCCAGTGTAGACCAAGAAACAACATTAAGGCAATATAAAGCTCAAGAAAGTGCAATGTGCTGTTTGGGATGCTGCTGCACAGATCTCCAATAGCAACACCCCACTCATTGCTGCCTAGGATGTGGCCACCCCCCGGGTAGAATAGCAGATGACATCTGCGGGGGCAGGTTTACCTGCTAATTCATAAGCCTGTTTGATTATCTTAACAACCCAGTGAGAGAGCCTTTGTTTAGACAGTGCATGTCCTTTGCCCTGTTGCCCCTGTCCCTCGCCTAAAGCTCTGAGATGCCTCACTGTACAGCCACAACGACGGACTGGACACAGCTAATTTGCTCCTCCACCTTGGATCTAAATGGGGGAGGCTGGTATGCGTCTAGTTTTAATGGCCTGATTAGTATGGCTAGGGGAAAAGACCTTTGGTAGAAAAGAGATATTTGCCACAGTGTCACCCCACGCTCTCTGCCTTCCATTGAAGACACGTAGGACTGATGTGTGTGTGGAGGAAAGCCGTTTCCATTGACATATTTTATATTTCTGAAGGTCACCCATGCAATAGGCTCAAGAGGTGACTGCTCAAGGCCTGTAAGACCAGTGGCAGGGGGCATACTGGAGAACACTTTAACCTGGGGGGGCGTACCCTCCTTGCACTGCACAGAAACTGTGTCACCCAGTAATGCACACCAACTGGCCTTCCATCAATGTGGCCATACTTTAAAGATATGGCTGCCACAAGAACTTTCAAGGTTGAGGCAGCCCAGCCAGCATCAAAAGAAATACTGTATTGTAGTGTGCCCTGCAAAGGGCAGAAGACTGGGTCTTACCCCCTGTCCCTGAACCATGTAGACAACACAGCCCAGTTGTTTCCATACACTGTTCTTGTGGAAGGAGTCCTAGCAGTCTGCAAAGTTTCACAAAATGAAGGTCAGTTAAGAATGGCTCTCAATGGCCATACAGAGCATTGACGGAGGCTTGGATACGGATGCATAACCCTCCCGTTCAGCTGGGACAGGAGGAAGGAAAACCACAGAGGACCGTGAGCTGTGCACTGACAAATCAGATCAGTGGTTCCCAGTCTTTTTGGATTGTGAACCCTTACATCAATATCTACTTATGACCCTTCATCACAGGTTATGGCTTTGGTGTGCAAATGATCTGTTCAACCAAAGAGGTTTGATTTTTGTTGTTCAGATTGTTTCCTTTAAAGGTTTTAAATGGCCCAAAGATGTGACAGTATCCAGTACTTCACAGGAAAAAATAAAATAAACCAAACTTCTCAAGATGGACAAGACAAAGATGGTTTTCTTTTGCATTCTAGTGATCCCTCATATGTATCTTAGGAACCCTTTGAGGGTCCCGCGATCCCAGGTTGTGAACTGTGCTAAAAGACTTATGATAAATGTGACTGTACTGTGAATTAATGTGTGCACCTTGAGGATGATGTCTCCCTCCTGCAGGTTCCCGTCCTTGGCAGCCAGGCCTGTACTGGTCATCTGTTTGATGAAGATCTGACTCCCCAGACGTAGACCATACTCTACAAAAACATACACACAACAGTTGTACTGGCTGAAGATATCATTAGATATCTATCAGCAGACATAAGTGGTCTACTAAAGTTAGCAACTTCAATATTGAACCATTTGCATCTGCAGTTGCACTCAAGTGGTTCATTACAGTGCTCAGTACACTGATACATAATGGGACAAAAAGATCCAATTATCCCTGTGCTGTAACGTTCTCTTCACTCCTGTTTCTCAAAATGTTGCCTGCTCTATACAATGTTCTATTTTATACACTGAGAGACAAGAACAATAGAAACTCCTGTACAATCTAATACAATCCAGTACAACAGTACAAGTCCTATCTTAGGAAAGCCTATGTTTAGACAGCTGTCAATTCAATTCTATTGTAATGTGTTTTAACTGTGCGCTTAGAAAAACTTGGAACCAAAAAATAATAGCGTTGGTTTTTGTTTCTGTGGGCATCAAGAGTCGAATGGGCAGCCATGGCACGCATGATGTGTTTTACCTTCATTGGGTCGGTTCTTCACCAGCAGGACGTTGACAGGTTTCTCCAGTGGCTCCAGCTCTCTGGAAGGTTCTGGGGATGGAGAGTTGTCATTAAGCTGGTCCCTGCTCCTGTACCTCCCTCCTCTTCCTCCTCCTCCTTCTCCTCGCTCGTACTTGTCCTCCATGCGGTAGCTGTCCCCGGGGCTACGTCCTCGGCTGTGGTACCTTTGACGGTCAGCGCTGGTGTCCAGGGCTCGTCCCCGGCTACCCTCCCTCCTGGATCTTTCCGGGCTGGGCGAGGACCTCTCCTGGCTCCTTCCCCGGCTTCTTCCTCTCTGGTTGTAGTCCCGCCCCCCCCTGTACTCGGGGTCTAGGTATCCTTTGCTGTCAGAGGTGTGGTCCTGGCTTTCGTTACGGTACCAGCCGTTGTCATTGTCAGCGTCGTAGTAGTGGGTGGAGGGGGCGTAATCCCGACTGTCTGCGCCTGGCGATGGGGGCTGTTTAAGTGAGTGGACCTTACGAGGTCTCTTCACCGTCTGACAGAGAAAGAATAAAACATGTAAAACTGTTTACATCAGTGGTTCAAAACATTTTTTTGGTCTTATGTACCCCCCCACATACGTCTCAGATGAGCTCAAGTACCCATTCATTGACACCGCTGACTATTTAAAAAAAAAATATTTAAAAAAACTATTAATTATATAAGAGTGGATAATGTTACTGTAATCCTGGAGCTCAATTTTCTTGCATGACTCTTTTTTCCCAGTAGCAAACCAAATAGTTTGCATTCACTAACTTTATATGGAGTAGCTGAAACTGAACCACAACCACACCCTGGCAACTGAAGCACTTTGGTTGGCTGGTAATCACCAATTTAGATCATTTAAAATTAGGAAACTTTCATATCTATACAAACGAATACATGAACATAAATACACCAGTAATCAATAATCCAAATATCAATACTCCAAAGTATCATTAACCTGAATATCAATGCACAGATTCACTCAACAATGAACATTGAAATTCATCACTGAAAGTAAAAATAGAGAGAGAGACAGAGAGAGAGAGAGAGAAAAGCAGTTTAAATATTTAAATAAGGAAATTAATATCATAAATGTTCAACGACTAGTC